TTATTAGTTTGAAGATAGTAAAAAGGTAAAAGAGTCACTACAGGTCTTCTCAGCTAGTGATAGTAGTGCTCATTTCCATTTCTTTAAGCCATTCAGCCAGGGCTGTTCAATGATGTTTCCGTAGTCATATGGCCAGCATGACATCATACCACAGCACAAAACGTACAGTGAAACACTGAATGCTGTTTCCTTTCCACCAAAGTGGTGCCTATTTATCTACTTGCATTTACATGCTTTTGAACTGCTAGCCTGGCAGGAGTTGAGGCAAGTGATGGGAACTCCTACTGTCACTTGATGGTAGGACTCAAACTGCTGGAGCACAGACCTTCTCCCAAATCTTTGAAGCTATGGACTCACCGTGCCTCCCCTTGAAGATAGTGCTGCTATTTTAAACTATTTTAATGACCATTTCACTTTTAAAACACTCAGATTAGATAATACAAAAGTAAAATAAAGTAAAATAACATTTTTGAATAATTTTTATAAACTCTATTTTGCAAAGCTATGCTAATTAAAAGGTATAATCTTTTTATTGAAAATTGAAGGAATAACTGACAATTTTTTTAAAAAATAAACATAACACGGAATAAGAAGACCATGCTTTTGAGAAGGTTATCAAATACTTCTTCATGTTGGCCAGAGGAGCAAATTTGCACCGAAATAGGCTAGGTGTAGTTGTGGAGTATTTGTTTGGTGATTGTTGAAATTTATATTTAGTTTTGGTGTGTTAAGTTTAAAAGAATGCTGATTTATCTTCCATGGTTGTACTTTGTTTTATTTTTCTCCCAAAATTGTAGAAAACCAGGCTTGTAATTCTCATAAATTGCCACCAAAAAATTTGGAGACTGACAACGCAGAATGGCTACATATAGCATACAGTTCATATCTGAACGTAGTAAAAAATAAATTTCAGGAAATATTCCAAAGAACTTCTAGTATGATGTACTATTCCTTCAGCATTCCAGCAGCATAGAATAGTACTATTAAATAGGTAAATTCAGTATTCATTGAATCATGCCACATGATAAGAAAAACAAAATTCAATGATAGGGCAATACCTTTGTTATAATAGCTTACAGATTAAAAAAAAATATCATGGAAACTTTAACAACAGTCACACACACCTGCACACATACAAGTTCATTCATTACTGTGGAAAGAGAGGGAGGGAGGGGGGATGGACTATATCGATAGAGAGAACAAGAAAAATACATTTTATTTAACAAATTGAAAAGCTAAATTAGGGAAGTGTTTAAAAGAAAAGATCAACCAATTAAAAATTTAATATAATTTATATATTAAACTATCTATGGGTGTGACTTTTATCTGTGGAGTGACTTGATATCTATAAAGCGTGTACACACACACACACACACACACACCAGCTGAATTCTATAGGACCATTCAGTCACTCAATTTAATATTCCAATATTTAGTCTTGCATTAAATTTCTAATTGTCAAGATAGCTGCTTATTCTCAAATAATCAGCTTTGCATATTGTGGAGTGAGTTGTAGTCTCTTTAATTGTCCCTAAATTGTGCCAGTTTTTTCTTTTCTTTTCTTTCATTTTTTTCTTTTGCATAGCAACCAATCTCCTTCATGACATATTGACTTGATACTTAAAAGAAATTCAGGAGAAAGAATGCTTATACTAAAGTAAATATCCAGTAAATTCTATAAGCTTCTTTACAAGATGTTTCATTGGAGTCATAATATAAAAGCCACAAAATGTTGTGAAATATTTGTGTTTTTTGCCTTGTCCAGGGCAGTATATTCCTTTATGTGATGAAGATGGCTACTACAAACCAACTCAGTGTCATGGAACTGCAGGTCAGTGCTGGTGTGTCGATAGATACGGCAATGAAGTAACAGGATCCCGAACACATGGTGCTGCAGATTGTGGTACGTTTCCAAAATCTCCCTCCCCGTCCCATTAAAACCGTGTGCTAATTCCAGCATGGCAATAGCTAATTTTGAAGGTTTTTTAATCTAAACTAATTTTCCCAACTTGAGGGTGTCCACATACAGTATATCAAGCTATAGCTTCCATCTCTGCCACTTTATGTTAGAAAGATACCACATTGGGAAAGGCTGATTTGGAGACTAATTTGGAAGAGATTTGGGGGCTGAGAATTGAACATATTCCTCAAGTAATGCACATCACAGATGGGCTGCTGGGGGTTTGCAAGGGGTTCAGGAGAGCCCCTAGCTAAGATTCTGTGCAGTTCAGAGAACCCCCAAATCCCATTCCTAGCTGGCCCCGCCCACCCCGCTCTGCCCCTCCCAAGAATTCCTACACGGTCTGTTTTGGATGCAAGGAAGTGCAGGGCATGCTCAGGAAGGGTGAAGAATGGGCCTCCTGGAAGTTTGTGAAAGCTGGAAATGGGCCTTCCAGAGCCCGGGAAAGCCATTTTCTCCCTTCCGGAGGCTCAGGGAAGGGCAAAAATTCCCCCCTTCCCCACCGTGGTGCAGGAGGCCAACTAGGCCACACCCACCCAGGCACCGCATAGAGAACCCTTTGTTAAAATTTTTGAATCCCACCCCTAATGTACACGTCACATTCAAAGAAGACATTGCACTCACACTTTCTGCTTTATCTTAATCTTTATCTTGGACCATTAACTTTTCATATAAATAATGAACTAATAAAAGAATATTGTGTTAAATTGCTTTTATGAGTAGATTGCAATGAAGGCTGTCCTAATTATAGACTCATTAAATCAATGAGCGCAGTTTATATCAGCTATTTTTCCTTGCCTTCATAAGAATCCATTGCTTTCTGTGTATAATAATTAACCTTAATTTTAGTAAATTTCTCTTCTATGTGAAGTATAAGATAATCTTATGTTGCTAGAGAGCCTTAACTGGAAAGAATAAAAATGTAAGGGTAGAATAGCCAATCAGCAAACCAAGCTTTCCTAGAGTCATGGAGTTTTTCGAAATTCAAACGAGTTCTAATGAATCGATTGAAGAGGGCTTGTGGTACTTCATTTCAGTGTAGTTCAGTTCAGCATGTACTGTACAACTCTGATGATTTATTAAAATAGTATTATCTGGAAAGACCTGGGAAAAGATTCACTGCTCCTGCCTGAAGAACAACTGGCAGCTTTGGAAATAAAACCTTTGCATGGTTTAATCTGGTGCACTAGTTGTACCCAGATTCGTAGATCTGTCAGAAAGTCACTTGTGCCATAGTCTCAAGACTGGGTTACCTCAACATGCTGTACATGGGATTGCCCTCGAAAATTACTCGGAAGCTACGAATAGTCAAGAATATGGCAGGACAGGATGATATTTGTATATCACAGGCACAACTGTGTGCCATTGCTATTTGGTTGCCAGCCAGCTTCAGTGTGCAATTCAAGGTGAGAATTATCACATAGAAAGACCCCTCATAGGGGTCAGGGCCTAATAATCTGATAACTCCAATTGTTTTTGCCTTTTGGAACACTATTCACCCTCTCCTCTCCAATAACCCTATCCCTGAGGATATTCCATAAATGCTGGAAAGGCTTGGAGACAGGGTGCTTACTGAGTCCTTGTTGATTGTAATGTTTTTGTTATTGTTCTATTCTGGGAGGCATTGTGTTATATTTTTCTGGACGTTCAAGATCATTTTCTTTTTCTTTTGTTTTAATTGTCTGTACTTTATTTATTTTCTGTGTGCTATTTTAACATAAGTCAAGGCAACAAACATATGCAACACACCTCATTCCTGTTATGTTCCCCACAACAGTCTTGTGAGGTGGGTTGGGCTGAGAAAGAATGACTATCCTAAAGTCACTCAGCAGCTCTCATGCCTAAGGCAGGATTAGAACTCACATCTCCCACTTTGTAGCTTAGTGCTTTAACTACTAGACCAAACTGGTCTCTAGGTTTAAATCCAAGAAGATAAATAAAATAACAGTCCTGAAGGGTGCTTAACACAAGCAAACCTAAATATATGTTGTGTGTATGTGTGAGACATATTTATATATTTTCCTCTTCACTATATAGATTTAGAGACATCAGGGGATTTTGCCAGTGGTGATTTCCATGAATGGACAGATGATGAGGATGATGATATCATGAATGATGAAGATGAAATAGAAGATGATGATGAAGATGAGGGTGATGATGACAACGATGACCATGATGGATATATTTGATTTTCTTAGCTGTGACTAATTTGTCTCTAAAATTTACAAGATGCTACCCCAGAATATTCTTCTATCTTCAAAGGTCAAATGGAATCAAATCTACATGTATATTTTGTATGATTATTTGAAGCACTGCAGCTGGACATTCTTCATTTAAATGAAAATCATTATATTATGTGTTGTTTTTATATACCACTCAGCAGAAGAAAATGTGCCTCAAGGGAGGAAAAAAAAAACAGATATTTGAGATGTAGTAAAAAAAACAACAAGCAAATTCCAAGATAAGTATAACTGCTGTTTCAGAATCTATACATTAAGGCACAGTTTCAGCAGACCAGTGCTCCATTATAAAGCAGGTTAGTCATGATGTAGATCATGGAGACATTTTTCAGAACGTGCATGAGCAAGAGAAGGAAGCTTTAATAAAGAATATAACATGTCATCAGCTTACTGTATATTAGAGCAGCAGAGAAACTATAAGAGGACACGAAGTGCCAGGTGCTCTTTTTCTGTTTTGAACTGTTACGTTTTCAACTTCCAAATTATTAGGATCTTGCAATGATACACATTAATTCTCTAAACAGGGTTGGCAGCTATGGCCCCTTTATGACTTGCAGACTTCAACCATGCTAGCTCAGGAATTCTGGGAGTTGAAGTCCACAATTCATTAAAGGGCCATAGCTGCCAACCCCTGCTCTAAGTCTTGACTCCTAGTAACTACCACATTATTTGATGTATGAGACGCACTTGGCCCCCAAAAGTGGGTGGAAATGTCTGCGTCTTATACAGCAAATGTTGCCAAAGCCTCGCCCACCTGCCGGCCCCCACCCTTCAGCCTCTTCCTCCCAGCAATGTGCCTCCTGGCAGCAAACAGCCTGGTCAGTTTCAGCACAGCCTGATTAGCACAAGCAGCTGATTGTCGGTCGGATCGGCCTCCCAACGATCAGCTGTTTCAGGCTGCAGGGATCGCCATCCCCTATTGCCGCCTCCGCGCACCTCATTTTTGGCCTGTTCCCAGGGATCGGAATGGGCAGAAAATGGGTGTCTGGAGGCCAAAAATGGGATGTGGAGGCCAAAAATGGGGCACGCGGAAGCGGCAACAGGCGATGGCGATCCCTGCAGCCTGAAACAGCTGATCGTCAGGAGGCCGATCCAACCGACAATCAGCTGCTTGTGCTAATCAGGCTCTGCTGAAACTATCCAGGCTGTTTGCTATTTGCTGCAAGGAGGCAAATTGCTGGGAAAAAGAGGCAGATTTTTTCTTCTTCTCCCCCCTCCCCCCAAAAAAGCTAGGTGTATCTTATACTTCAGGGTGTCTTATACTCCAAAAAATACGGTATATGGATGGGCCCATGTTGTTTAAGGAAAACAAAATGGAAATGGCCGGCAGACTTCCAGGAACTTTTTGATTTCCCAGTCTAATATACTGCCATAGTATTCCCCTTTTCAACAATTAACCAAGGCTCAGAAATAAATTCAGAAATAAATTCAGCCAATCCCAGCAAACATAGATTGAGAGGTTTTATTTGTTCCTTTCTCCTGTCTTGAGTAAAACTTTCCATAAAGTTTGTGTTACTGTATTACTGTCAGTGATAATGATGACACGTATCTGGATAATTGTTTTTTTGAACTATGGCTTTTTCATTTTTAAATGGTTCTAAACATTTACTTCTAATTTATCCCTTTTTGCTACTAGTTCAAAACTTTAGAGGAGCTATTGTAAGGTGCCTTGCAAAATAGTAATAGAAAGATTTATAGCATGCGTATTGAAATAAAATTATGAGGCAGTAGTCAAGCACTTCCAAATTCCAAATTTTATATTGCTATAAGTGCTGCTGCTTTTATGGAGAATATTTTTTCCCCTCTGCCCCAATTTTTACATAATTACCATATAGAATGCATTATAATTCTTAAGTAGAGTTGCATTCACAATTTGACTATAGACAAAATTATTTTAATCACTCTATTTATGTTAGCATGTTAATTGTGTAAACGTTTTGAAATTCCACTACCTGCATTCATATCAAATTGTGGCTCCACGCCATAATGAAATTGAAAAACTCTGTAATTATGCAAGCAGTTGTTTAATTTCAACTCTGCATTATCATTTTCCCTAATTTTTAGTCTGCAATTAATTGAAATAAAGTTTATTTGCATTTGATTAAATAGATTTAATATTAAATTTAATGATTATCTTATGTAACATTAAAATACTGTTTTTCTTTTTATGTTCATGTATAGTTTACAAAATAAAGACTCTTGTAACCATCTTTTATTCAGAGTGCTGTAATGTTTCTTCTAGAGTTAAGGCAACAGATACACTTGGCATTTTTGTATTAAGCAATATTGGAATAAGTTGAACTAGATGAAAAAACAGCACATCAAGCAATAACATTTGCATCTCCATATACTTTAATGTGATTTTCAACAAAGGCTTTATTTTATTAAATGTACATGTAACATTTTTCCATTGGAAAATCTCCCTGTGCTCAGTTATTATTAGGTAAGATTGTAACTGATTGTGAGGCTAATTAAAATATTCAATTTGCAGTCTTCAACCTCCAAACTAATTGCTTACTAAAGTCAAATGTTTTTCTAAAGTCAATCTGCTTTGCTACATCATTGACCTAATACTATTCATTTTGTAAAAAGAACATTTTCAATCCAGTTTTATTGTGCCAAAACCTATTATTGTTTAAGTATGGAAGAAGTTTCTGTTGTTAATTAGGGCTGCATAAAGTAAGGCATGGAATGGAGACTTTTTCGCCATCCAGCCGAAATGCAACTGACTAGTTAGTTACTATCCTACATCAAAAGGGAAAACAAGAGAGTCTGCTTGCATAGAATGACTTCAGTATATTTGCACTTATGGTTTAAACAAGTGAAAATTAATTATCCTTACAATTCCTTACAAACTGTCAATGTTCTATCTCAGGATCCAATCTGGGTTGGTCACTGGGACTAGAAGTTTTGTCTTCCAAGCTTTCAGACTTGAGCTGAACGTGGAACTTCTCTCTAGCAGAGTGTGTGCACAAGTTCAAAAGCTTGGAAGACAAAATCTCTTGTCCCGGTAACCAACCCAGATTGGATCCTGCAACGTTAGCCTGAGACACCTATATTCACCTCCATTCGTGTCACTGTTGTGTCACACTTGGCACAACCGTTCATGATTCATGCCCAACGTGAATGCCTTATTCATAGTAAGACTGTAAGTATGGAAAACTGAAAAAGGCCAAGTGTCTCTGTCCTATATTTGTGCCTTGCATTTTTCCTAGCCAAATGCATTATTTCACATTCATATCTGATAGACGCCATTCATTCATTCATTCATTCATTCATTCATTCATTCATTCATCCCTTTCTTTCCTTGAGACTCTTATTGAATCTTGTATTTTTTTTGTCTAATTAGCCAACGCTCCAAGCTTTGTCTTATCTGCCAGTTGTATCAGAGTTCTCTCAACTTTCATACAAGTTGTAAGACAAAAGCTTGAACAGCACCAGAAACTGGGGGTGGAAAAACCCATTGGCATGTGACTCAATGCCTCCATCCAAATGGAAAAGAAAATATTAATGACCACTCTTGATGTTGCTTTTTAGCCAACTGTGAATAGATAGGTGTCAACTTGTAAAAAGCATTCCTGGACTGCTTTTTTTCTTTTGAAACTTGGCTCGAGGCTCATGAATTAATTAGGGCATCTGTTGGAACCCTGACAATATGATCGTTATACCATTTATGTATTTATTTATTAAATTGATATTGCCGCCTATTTGCCTCATGGCTGTCGCCTTACTCACATTTTTCCTTTTTTCTAAGAATACCATGAGCCACTTTATGAAAGTTTTGATGCAGTCCTGGCACTCTGTATCAATGATTTTTTTTTAATCTATTAAGTAATGGACTATTTAAGGGGGATAAAGTTAATTGGACATGATTTGTTTGTGATAGATCAATAGTGACTCATGTTAATTGTAGCATGCCTTTCTGTGCGCTTATCAAACATTTTGCTTGATAATCTGCTCAAGAGCCTTTATCAACACAGGTAGTCCCCTACTTTTGATTGTTCATTTAATGACCATACAAAGTTATGACAGCCTGGAAAGCTAGAAAATATCACCGTTCTCAAGGCCATAAACCTTTCTGTTTTGATCTCTAATCTTATATATGATATGTGATGCATATATGACCTATAACAACAATAGACCAAGCCTTAAGAACAAATGGATACAAAGCCAGAATTGAAAAGTCAGCATCTGCAAAGAAACTGAAGAAACAAGTTAGCTGCTGCAAGATTGCAAGACTGATTACAAAGAACAGCATGACTGTAAGCACTGGACTTTTTTTCCTTCAACCGAAAAGAATGAACTTCTGAAAGCTAGATATTTCAAAACGAATCCTTTATTGAAATGGAGTGAATCCCAGCACTAGTCAAAGCAGAGTCCAAGATATGCCCAGGCATACAGTAATAGATAAAGGGAGTTAGAACCCCTCCCCTTATTCTGATGTCAATTTAGTCAAACAAAGAACCAACATGTTAATCCCCCCTCCCCTTCTCTGGGAACGTATCTTAGAAGAGTTCCCAGGGAGTATCTTCCAGAGCTGGAATTTTTATGGTCTCTTCTCATCTTGTTATCTCTTCAAGAGGTGACAAGTTTCTAGACATCTGGCTCCAGTCCTCCAGTTGTATATCATGTGCAAGTATCATGTGCAATCAATATAAGATTTAATATATTCAGGTTATATCAAAAAGGATTACTTGTACCAGCGTCCCCCGTCCTTCTTCCATTGAAGAATGGCAGATACACAGATCTGACAACGACAAAGTAGCAACCGTGGTGTGTTGGAATATCCACAAGAAGTACCACTTGCCTGCAGGCAAAAACTGGTGAGTCCACAAAATAGAGGAAAAATTAAAGAGTTCTGGGACTTTAGAATTGAAATAGACAAACATCTGCCACATAATATGTCTACATCTTTCTTAATGTATGTCAGTCATGAAACATGGAACAGGGCTGGGATTACTTGGATCTCTTACAATGCAAATTGCTTTCCCTTGCTCCACAGGATGCATTTCTAAGTAGTTTGCAGCAATATCTACCAGACATTGCTGAAAATATGAAAACATAAATACAAAGCAACTATATAGAACTGTGGTGGATTTTAGTCCAGATTCCCTGAATGGAAGGAATGTATTCCATCACAAGAATACAATCATGAAAGACATTCATGCTTGCCTACCATAAGAATATGCAGGGCAGATCAGTAAACTAGTTGAGATGGAGAAATACTTCTGACGGAAGCAGCAATTTCATTGTAAAGAGCAAATTAGTGTACAGCTTCAGGTACTGATGCAATTTAAAGTGAGTCAAAGGAAATAAAGCAGCTGATGAAAGAAAGTTACCCCAAGCAAAAGATATGGTAGTATGGAATGGGAGCAAAGCACTAAGACTTCCAGCCAGCTTGTCTGTTTTATTTTGCAAAGCCTTCAGTTTGTTTGACTGGTGGATCCATTTTTATACAATATTAATTCGATTTCTGCCTTCCAGGCTGCAATTAATTGACAGCAGAGAGGAATACGAGCTATAGGGATTGAACTTGGTGTGCATAAGATATGAACACATAGCTGATATTCACATTTTTTTAAAAAAATGATAAAAGAGATGATGATTACCTGCATACCAAAAGATATTTTGAGGTTTTTCAAGTGCCCATTGCAGTCCTTTACTAAGTAAACAAACAAGTGAAAAACTTCCGTTCCTCCAATACAGTGTTTCTCCACTAAAATGGAGAAAAACACTAATAAAATTAATATTTGATGATGCCCTGTTTGCTTTTATAAATCCTCTGTTTCTTAAAACAGTCTCATTATACAATTTCAAAGACTTGCTTCATGCAAACTATCACTGAAAATTTTTTGAAGCTTTTGTATCACCCTAATATTTCAAATATTTGTGAATACATGAAGATAGATTTATATTGCAGGAAAATTACATATTTTACCAGGTTTTCTGACAAAAGGAATAAAGAGAATCCTTTTTTCTATTTCTGTTTTATCTACTTAACTGCTTTTGTCCCTCATCTTGCAGGGCAACTTGAAAAGTTATTGACAAGATATTTTCAACATAATCTAAATATATAGCAAAAATGTAGAAACAGGAACTTTCAGGTATTGAGTTCATAATTCTCCTAGAATTTGAGTGGTTCTTTTTATACATCAAAAAAGATACATTTTCCAACTGAGAATTTGGATATGACAGCTTCATTCAAATAAACAATTTATACATTGTTTAAATTTTGCAATCAATGATACAAATTAGGAAATATCTTTTACCCACAACAGAGAGTAATGAAACCTGCTAAATTCATCTTGGAATAAACTGTGACTTTATAGACTGTGTGATGACCCAGGGTATGGCACAAAGGCAACACAGTCAAAAAAGTAAGAAGAGTCCCTTTATTATCTCCAACTTTGTCCAGGTTACCTTCGGCCGGAGAAAAACTCTCCCAGGAACAGTCTTCTAAGTGGAGGAAATTCAGTCTGAAAACAAAGTACATACAAACTGTAACTAAAAATCCAAACAAACCTTTGTGCAGTAATTAACTTGACAGGGCAGGAAAAGGAATTGCAGACTTGAAAGGCTAGTAAAACACACACAGTTGGGAAGATGCCAGGAACACATATAAGCCTCAACAATATCAGATAATTCATGATTTGCTCCCAACAAGTTGCTATGCTCAGCTTCCCTTTTTAAACACTGTGTTTCCAACTGCAGCTAATGAAGGAAATCAGGGCCCTTTCCTCTCACATAAGCCATGCAACTCATGTTGCTCCCTTCTCCATTCATTCCTGCGTGCCCTAAGATGAAGAGGAGGTGGGCCTGGGTCTTCCTCTGAATTCCTTCTCCCTTGCGCTACCTCTCCCCTGCTCTGCCCAGGTGGACTGTGCCGTTCCCCAGTTTCTTCCACAGCCAACAGAGCCACACTCCCACTTCCTGTCAGCTGTTCCCGCCTCCCCCCCTGAATCAGATTCCAACAGGGTCATGACAGACTGTCCCTTGTCTCTCCAAAACATTTAGGCTCTCCTATTAACTGGAAGAACAACTGTGACATCTGGGTTTCCAGAACAAATCTTTGGGGGCTTATAATATTTACCTCAATGCAAATTATTCTGTAGCCTACAGAGGTGAAATTGTTTTCTAAATGGCTGCAATTTGAAGTTACCCCTTGTTGTGTATGGTGTCCATTGTAGTTAATCACTTGCCTGGTGAAGCCAAAGCTAATGAAACAAACAAACTTTATTCTTTATTAACTGGAAAATAAATTTTAGATCTGTATTTTAAGCTAAATAAGAAACATTTATTTATTTAAAATAAATAGCAGGTAGATTTTTTGGCTCTCAAACCTGGCAATAAAATTCCAGTCAAGAATCCAATGGTAGCAAATCAAGGCATTATCTATAACTCCTTAGACTTTTTCAATAAGTGGCATTCTGAGGCGAACGATATCTTATATTAGATAGAGCATATAGCTATCATGACTGCCAGTTAAGAATCTTAATCACAATAGTAAAACATAGGAGGGAGAGAGAATTGGTAGTAGCTCTTAGCTCTTCCAAACAAGATGTCACTTTACCTATGTTTTTTGGGAGTACATATGTGAATGCTCACCTGGATATTTTACATGCTTTGTTAGTTGTCTAAAATACAAACTCATCATTAAACCAAATGCAATTTGCTGCAGTGTGTTTGCTCGGTATAGAAGTCCCATAAATTTTCTTTTTTTTTCATTCCTCTGAAATCACTCCAATTATTCTGTCAATTTAGTATCCTGATGGCTGAAAATTGACGGCCTGTTTTCCTGCCATTTTGAGGAATGAAATATATGAACACTGATTATCAGCATCCCTTTTAGAAAGCAATTTAAAAAGAAAAAAACTGTAGAGGGGTGGAAAGGGGGAAAATCTGGATAGCTGTTTCATGTCTTAAAATCTCTTCTGGGAGTGTTTAATTTCTACATAACCATATAAAAACAGCAATGAAAAAATAGGCCAGTTCTGCAAGACAAAAAAGTATGATCATTTGTTTAACTATTTAACTCTTGTACCTCAGAAACTAGTCTTAAAGCGGTGTCCTTTATGATAACCTAATTGTCATAAAATCAGTCAGGAACCTGACAAATCTCCTGTTACATCGCAAAGGTTACTGCATGATTCATGTACATGAAAGTGGCAAACTAAGCAATTTGATCTACTTACTAAAGGGAAAAGGAAAACAAAAGAAAACAATATTCTAGACATACTGGAAATAGAACAGAATAGAATAACAAAGTTAGAAGGGACCTTGGAAGTTTTCTCGTCCAACCTCATACTTTTATCTAATTTTAAGGAAACCAATAATAAATGCTAATAGAAAGAAGGCTAACAAAGAAAGATGACATAGAATCACAAAGTTTACATATCAGTTTGTAGTAATAAAAAGCACACGTGCTTCAAGAAAAATCATTGAGAAATAAATGATTTAGAAATAAAACATCAGTTCATTTTTGCCACTGCATCACAGTGATAGCACAATCACTCTGAAGCATACACACTGTTTTGCTCATAGGGCTTACAAGAAAGATATTTAGGCCTGATGATTTGGGGAGCTGTATGGCAGTGGTGGGATTCAAAAATATTTACTACCGGTTCTGTGGGCATGGCTTGGTGGTATAGCTTGGTGGCTGTGGGAGGGGAAGGATATTGTAAAATCTCCATTCCCTCCCCACCCCACTAACCTGCTTTCCAGCTCCATTGTCCTGTGCAGGGC